TTTTTTTCGCTAAAAAGCGATTCAAGAGATTATATTCTACTGAATTCGAAGATACATTTAGGTAGTATTTCTGTGGGTAAGCTTATATAACTCGTTTACGAGCCAAATTTGCTATGCAGCTCGTAGACGTAAATGTGCCGGGAAAGTGGGGCGCTTTTTGAGGATCCGGGAAGAACACATAACGTGTCTACAGTTACGGCAATTCATTTAGGATATCGGCGTCGATAAACTGAGTGACTGGACGCATTCAAGAAAAGCATAGGCAAGTAAAACTTTCTTGATCATGCAGCCTTTTTGCAATGGGAGAAAACATTTTGCATGAATATTCTTTGATTAGTAATTACACCCATCCCCAACCGAAACTTTCACGGGAAAAAATTAAAAACCCAGCACTCGTCAAAAATAGTCTTTTTTCACTAGAAATTTAGCTCAGAACATATACAAATTTATATTTGTCTGAATCGTCGATAAAATGACCTTTTCCGGATATTTTTTTCCTTCAGGGTCAACAAAAACCTCTGATTACAAAATCACACCGAACCCACATGTAGCAAAAAACTCTCTTGAAAACCCTGACTTCGAAGGGATATATCACTTTAGCGTTAATAGCTACCACACATCGGCAGAAGGTAAATCTATTCCTTAACAATCCAGCTTTATCGTTTTAAAATTTCAGCGAAATCGAACAAAACCAGAACTAATTAGAATTTTTTTTGTCACCTCGCTCTTTTGCTTGACCCAACAAAGGAAGCGACGGTCGCCCATGGCAAACGAAAAACACGAACATAACACGAACCGACGTTTCGGTCAAAAAAAATCCAGAATTATTGCCTGAGAGCTTAAAATTGAATGGGAACATCTTTTTCGAGCTTTTTAACTGATTGAGACGTAAAAATGGCCTCGGCGGGCTGCAAAAACACAAAGGAAAACAAAAAACAAAAAAAAACAGGACAGCAGAACAAGCCGATAATATTTCACCGCGTGGCTTTCGACACGAAAACGAAATAAAGCTTACATCTGGATAAATATGCAGCCTTAGAAGCCAGCAACTGGTCCCAAATTACTTTCTGTATCCTTAGAAATGTCCTGTCTTACATCTCCGACAGAGTTTTTCCCCAAATTTGAGCAAATAAACATCTCTCCGCGAGCGACGCCATTACTCTTCGCTTACATACTACGTGTAATTAGCTAACTTGACAAAACTTGCCCAAGGGGGGGGGGGCGGGGGTTATGACGAAAAGAGCTGAAAAATAACCTGTAATTGGCTGATGATGAGATCATCCCACTGTCCATTTTTGGTGAGAATCCAAAGTAACACCGATTTTCTGTCACGCTTTCAATCTGTGGTTACTGGAGTAACCAAAATCGGTGACTCTACCGGGAAAGAGCCCTCCTTGTTTCCTTTGAGACTGGCACGTACTGAAATAATGTGTGTTTATGATTGCTTAGATTCTAAGTATATTAGACTTGTTAGTGCCCAGAATGATGTGTAGTGCCATGGCTATCTGCAATCAATAACATTTGAACTTACAACATTTCTTGTCATCAATTATTGCCAGCTATCAACCAAGACTGATGTTGACAGCAACAACAGCAACAACATTTATTCACACCTTTTATTTTTTTTATAAGACTATGTTTTATAGGAATGTCGAGGCTGAATTTTGCCAAATTTGAAGTGTATTTTAGGAAAAAACCCGAGGCTGAGATTTTGAAAATAATGCATTTTTTTTGTGTGTTGAAAATTTGTAAATATAACACTATCATACGTTTATAACTAAACGTATAAAATTCTTCTTTCCCTAAATGGCAAAACTAACCAAAATGCAACAAAACAGCACTAGCCATATGTTCGATGCTCTGATGCAGCAGGCTGGCTCCAAAATTATTCTAATACCATTCAGACACTAACTACATTCGAAAACAGAAATTTCATCCGCTATAATCTAAGAATATTAACTAGAATATTTTCAGTCTAAAATCGGCAGAAAAATAAGAATATTCAGCCTCGGTCGGAAAAGCAATATTCTTATAAAAAGTAAAGAGTGTAAACCGAAAAAAAGGAAAGCAGAATACAATAATTTGAAGCTTATAAAATGGTATTAAAGGCCTATAACAACCATAATGCTAAGAAAAATTAGGCAGCTCTCTATGGAATACAATTATAAAAATTACGGTCACGTGTATTATATAAAGCTAAAGTAACTTAATAAATAAAGATATAAACATACACAGCAAAGTTAAAAGCGAATATTACAACAAGGCAAGAAGAAGGAGAAAAAAAAGCAAACAAACAGTAAATTGGTTTTACAGTTTTATTGATTGACTACACCTGCCTTTTGAGCCTTCACTGAGTTACTCTGAATAAAATCTCACTGGTGATTATGTCATAGAAACTGTGATAAATTTCTGTTTATAATGCTAGCCTTAACCATATAGCTGATTGACAATCCAAAGCAGCATTGTTGATATCATCTCTTTGCCCTACGGCGTCAATATAACCTGGATGACTTCCAGTGAAGAACTTTATCCAGTTCTTCAAAAGACATAGACGTAACTACAACCCACGTTTTGAATCAGAATACTACCATCCTCCATGTAATGGCTTAGGTAAATTACGAGATACCTCTAGGGAGCCACCACGGAAGATGGTTATAGTGAACTTAGTAGAATGGGGAAAGTAAATATATATTTGGAACATGCAACTTAAGAATCTCAAAGGTAACCAGGTATTGCAATATGCCATCAGTACATTTTTTAAAGATATGCGTCGAATCTAGGCATGTGTTATATATCCCTTCTGGTTTATCCACGTTGAAGTCCTGGCATCACCAGGGACCTTAAGATACGAGGAAGGGAAGGCTAGGACGGGAACGGCAGTGGACGCGGGAAACATTGGCGGGTCATGTTGTGTCGCCAAAAACAAAGTGATTAAGATGCGTATTTTCGCAAAGGACGGCGACGTCAATAAATCGAACTTAATTCGTACAAGCTATTCACAGAAGCAATGATATCCTTTAGACTATAACAGAGATGGTAGAAATCTTATCCTATTAAGCTTAAACGATACTGTAGTAAACAGCGATGCTGAATTTCTTTTTCTTTATAAGCGAAGCAAACATCTGTCAATAATTAAATAGAGAAACCTGAATTTCCGTATGAAAAAATTAAACGAACAATCTGATCGACCTGCTTCAGATGGCTTTTTCTGACCAGAGAATTCCGTCGCCGAAGAATCCTGACTTTTGATGAACATTTCAATTTCCATCTGTAATTGTAACAAGCATTATAAAAATAAAACAAACGTTTCATCAGGTTCTGGGTAGTATATAAAAAAAAAAAAACACTAACTAAACGACAGTTTGAAAACGTGTATCTTATTTGCTCGATAGGTGCTTCTATGTCATTCATTCTTATAACATTTTATCGACTGTACTTACACTGATGTACTCTCAATGCATACAGTTTGCATTTTGTTTTGAGCTTGCACACTCGTGACAGAGTCTGAACAGTGACTGAAAGACAAACGAAAGACAAGGAACATTTTTATTCACATTTTGGTATCTCAGCGTAGTATTCTACACTACAATCACGAAAAATGTGAACCGTATAGACATTCTTATCAATATAACTGAAAATAAGGTCGATTGGAACATTTGTCGGGGCAAAACAAGAGCAAAAAACTCTCGTTTTTGATACGACGGCTAGTCGGGCAGAATGGCGTCCTTGACGAGACGAGGACGGCAGAGAGATGAGTAGTTCTGCGCATGCCCGGTTGAGTAAATTTACTTCCGGTAACCGTCCTAGCTCGTCCCGTCCTGGTATCTTCAAGGTGCCTACTCTATGCCTGAGGACTTCTGGGATTTATAACTTGATAAGTGTTTTGACTGAGGAGCGTCAAATCTGGGCATGTGCCTTATCCCGTCTGATTCATTCAGGTTGAAGCCTTGGCATCACTGCTTGGGTACTTCAGGGATAAATAAAATGCGTATTGTGAGATGAGCATCAAATCTAGGTGTCTGTTTTTATATCCTTTCTTGTTCCTGTACGTGTGTGTCCTGTGTGTATTAAGAAATGTGCATAAGTCTAGCCAAATGTTCTTGAATGCACTTCGTGATGGTATGTTCCTATTATCAGCTTCAGATTTGTCATAGACAGTGGGAACCAGATACCTCAACAAGTGTTTGCCATACGCAAATCTTGTTATTTCAGTAAAATTCCTTAACCCTGACACTCTCCAGCCAGTCATTAATACTTGAGAAGAAGTTGCTGAAAGGTTCCTTGAGCGTAAATACACATGTATTGTTTTTCAATGTCAGTCAGGTTGCTCGTCCCTTTGAAGGTTGTAATCGAAATTTACCGCAATGATACAGCTCAGTGGAATCCCGATTTTTCGAACCTCAAAGGGAAACGAAAATTGGCTCAAAAAGTCGGATAGTTTGAAAAAGACGAGCATCGAGTACGGAAAACGAGCGACGTTTCTCTTCCGACAAGCAGGCGTCATTTACTTAGCCAATGTGAACGTTTCATCGAGGAAAAGAGCTAATAATTAAAGTTTAAACTTGAGGAAGCAAGCGCTAAAAAATAAGAACTTGAAGAAACCTCTGCCAAGATAAGAGACGCAGCTTCCGCGCTTGGAAATACCGGTCAACGCTATGTAATTGTCATGTAAGAAATCACAAAGTTCGCATCTGCCGAGTGGCAAAATGTGAGTCAGTGTTTTCCTGTGGAGAGTTGAGTTGGCATCCAGATGAAAAACAGGAGTTTCAGGAGAAAAAAAAGGGAAATAGCAGTATTAGAAACGGCCACCGCGAAAATAGAACTGGATTTGAACTGGCTTTCTTCCGAGTAAAACTAGTTCTTTGAATAAACACGTAGAGGAAATTTTGCTTGAAAAGTTTCCCCATGAATACCTTCAATATGTTTTAAATTCCTCTATTGATTTCCTATCATTCATTCTGACTAAGTGTAAAATACTAGGTGGAAGATTGTCTTCAACAAGTTTAAGGGATGCAGCTTAGCTAGAAGACGCTCAGTTGATTTTCCATACATTTGTCTTTATTTTTTTTTCCCGCGAACCGCGTCCACCCAGCCAAATTTACAGACAAATGTATGGAAAATTAAAAAAAATTAAACGAGCGTCTTCTAGCCAAGCTACATCCTTTAAACGTTCTGAATACAATCCTCTACCTAGTAGTTTAACGTTGCGATTAATAAATTGAGTAAAATTCAATTTTGGAAAAAGTTATTTGCAATCGGATTCCTACACAAAGACTGTAATTTCTAACCGCTTTGCCTACCCACCAAGATGGCGTCGAGAACCGTGATATGTAGTCTATTTAAGCTCGCAAATCTCACAGACATTTTTCATTGCGACCCATCGCAAAGCCCTTTAAGTTTACCGAAAGAGAGTGGTAATTTAGATCGCAAATCTCACAGATATTTTTTTAACGGCGAATTTACCGAAGGAGGAAAATAGCCGTAAATTTGCTTCCATAGCTCCCATCGCCTCCAGATTTCACCTACAGTTCCTGTTTGATAGATGGTAAATGAATATTTCTCATCGCGGCCCGTCAATAACTCTGGAACACAATGAAGCCAACACTCTACGAAATCGCATTGGTAGCAACACGACCTAAACCACTACAGCGACATAGAAAAAAAGGTACACAAACGAAGCCAGGGAAGGCGTTTTTATTTGTTTTCTACAGTGAAAAATTTGCCGGCTAACAATGTGAAATTCGAAGTGAGTGAGGCACTTTGACAGAACATTGTCACTATCAATACAAAAATTAACGCGAACCACTTTCTGTTATCCCTGTGTGTTATCATTTTTTAAAGAAATTATAACTGCAAAACTGAATGTTTGGATTTACTTTTACGCGGATAGCCATTCAAAAGTTGATGGCATTAGTACATCGGCCAAAGC